CATGATTGTAAAGCGCTTTGGGTGTACAACAATACACAATAAAGCGCTATACATCATTCATTCATTGGTCGACATTTTATTCCATAATGTTACACCGTTTTGATGCTGTTTTATGTCTGATTGTGTTGTCATGTGGAAGCATCTGTTGTTTCGGTTTCTTATTTGCTTTACTTTTTTTTTTTTCTATTCTGTACAGAAGATGTGTAATAGCGCTCCCTACCGTAACAATGAAAACACAGATTATCTAAGTATAAGTCAAGTACCGGTATACTCAAATGTCCTTTTAAGTATATTTCTGAGAAGTACATAAGGCCCACATCTGAGAAGTACATAAAAAGTAGACTGAAAGTATACTTTCAAATTTTTTAGTTTAAAAGAAGTATACTAATAGCACACTTGAATAAACTTCTTTTTCATAAGGGTATACAGCCCAAAGATGGAGAAATGGGGACTCAAAACCCCGCCCCTTTGACGTTCTGCTGCTTCACGGCACGGGAGCTACATTTCGTGCATTTGCATTTACAGAGAAAATAAAAGTAATTTTAGGGAAAATATGCATAATGACATTAACCAGACAATGAACCTTTTCAGGTTCAGTGTCTAATTCAAACTATGCTTCAATGTGTCTTCTATTCTGTACAGAAGATGTGTAATAGCGCTCCCTACCGTAACAATGAAAACACAGATTATCTAAGTATAAGTCAAGTACCGGTATACTCAAATGTCCTTTTAAGTATATTTCTGAGAAGTACATAAGGCCCACATCTGAGAAGTACATAAAAAGTAGACTGAAAGTATACTTTCAAATTTTTTAGTTTAAAAGAAGTATACTAATAGCACACTTGAATAAACTTCTTTTTCATAAGGGTATACAGCCCAAAGATGGAGAAATGGGGACTCAAAACCCCGCCCCTTTGACGTTCTGCTGCTTCACGGCACGGGAGCTACATTTCGTGCATTTGCATTTACAGAGAAAATAAAAGTAATTTTAGGGAAAATATGCATAATGACATTTTCAGGTTCAGTGTCTAATTCAAACTATGCTTAAATGTGTCTTTTTGAATGATTCATTATTTGATTATTTGATCCCCACCAGTGTTAATTTTGACAGCAAATTTTGATTTAGTTTTAGTCATGATCTTTTGACTAAAATGTTAGGGAAAATATGCATAATGACATTAACCAGACAATGAACCTTTTCAGGTTCAGTGTCTAATTCAAACTATGCTTCAATGTGTCTTTTTGAATGATTCATTATTTGATTATTTGATCCCCACCAGTGTTAATTTTGACAGCAAATTTTGATTTAGTTTTAGTCATGATCTTTTGACTAAAATGCCATTTAGTTTTAGTCATATTTTAGTAATCTGAATTGCTTTTAGTTTTAGTCTAGTTTTAGTCGAATAAATATAAGATTTTAGTCGACTTTCAGGTTCAGTGTCTAATTCAAACTATGCTTAAATGTGTCTTTTTGAATGATTCATTATTTGATTATTTGATCCCCACCAGTGTTAATTTTGACAGCAAATTTTGATTTAGTTTTAGTCATGATCTTTTGACTAAAATGCCATTTAGTTTTAGTCATATTTTAGTAATCTGAATTGCTTTTAGTTTTAGTCTAGTTTTAGTCGAATAAATATAAGATTTTAGTCGACTAAATCTACAGTAAATTTAGCCAGCTAAAATCTAAAGGGTTTAATTACAGTGCATTATTAAGCATTTCTCTAAACTTTACAAACTCATTACATAGGTTTGATATAAAGGTTTTATCATGATAGACACCGATTTAACTGCGGTGACACAACATGTCTTTATGTTCAAATTAAATAAAACCACTTCTCATAAAGAACAAGAACATGGTCTTCTTTTTAATTAAATGCCAATGGTTATATAGGCTAATTATGCATTCTTTATAGCAACTTGTTTACCACATTCTTCATTCTTTCAAGCAGACATATTTATTTCTATAAATAAATTTAGATTAATCTTTAGGGCTACTAAAGTTTTTCAGTCAAGAGCAGTGAGTGATTTTCTGTCTTTCTGTTGTTGCTTGAATAACATTAATGACTCGGACAATAGCAACTAAATTAGGCTGCTGTCCCTTTAAACCCGAATGCACAGCTGCAGTGGATGCAATGTACTGATATAACCCGATCTCATAAAAGTTCGTATAAATAGTACGCCAAATAAAAACGAAAACTCGTGGTATTGATATGCAAAAAATGGTCTCCCTACTGTTTACGTTTACTTAAGATGTAATCAACAGTGTTTACGTGAATACTCGTCAAAACGGACAATTCGACATAATTTATTGTGCAATTCTCCGTTCGTGCGACGCGAAAGAGTAACGTTACTCGCGTGCTGAGACGCGCTTTCTGTGTGTGTATGCTTCAGTGTCTGCGCTCAGAAAACGAACCAAGTTCTCTCTTGTGTCGTCAGATTTATCTATATGTCTGCTCTTCGCTTACTCCCACATATTGACATTTTTGAACGTTTTATGCACCGTGCAGCATGTTAGCTTATGTCCCGCCGGTTCCTCTAACCTCCGAATCACAGCAAAAGATTCTTCTTCTTCTTCTTCTTCTTCTTGTTAGTTTTATGGCGGATTGCAACCATGACTTATCAGGTGCATACCGCCACCTACTGTATCGGAGTATGCAGCCTGGATTATATTTAACTGAATGCACTTTACATTATATATATATATATATATATATATATATATATATATATATATATATATATATATATATATATATATATAAATAAATATTATAGCACTACTATCTAAATCCTATAATATACCCCTGTATCCTTCAGATATTCCACAACAGCATCCTGTGCATCTTTAACCCCTTCTCCTGTTGTTCCCAAAACACCCTCAAGGTTCCATTTCCTTCCTGTCTGACTTATCTTTTGGTTTAATCTAATCCTCTCTTCCCTATACTTCCTACAATGTAACAATATATGTTCTGCATTTTCTGTGATTTTACATTCCATACAATCATCTGATTTAGAACCTCAGCCTGGTTAGAACAGACTCCTCCCTTCTATTCCTTCCATTCACACCCTGTGCGTTGATACATTTCTGTATACTATAATATTTCCTTCCACTATTATCCATGTCCCATCTGTCCTGCCATTTCTTCATTATTTCTTTTTGTTATTATTGCATTAGCTTCTCCTTTACCAAAGGGAATATTTATAATATCGCTCGCCCTGGTTGATTTCTTTGCTATTTTGTCTGCTTTCTCCAGCAACAGATTCGTTCTGAATGAATCTCTTACCAAATCGTCCCTCCCTAACATTAACCGTCTCGTTTTTATTCGTTGAGGAAAATTTCAATAGATTTACATCATAGATTTTGTCATTCAAAAAGAGTTTTAGTTCGTTATGGTCTCGTTGTCCTCGGTGAAAAAAATGTCGTTGACGAAAATTATGACGAAGATTATTCCTCAACGAAATGAACACTGATCCCCACTCTTTTCTTTCAGTCATTAAAGCCTCCATATCCTTATAGAAAAGGTAGCGAAGGCTGGCTGCTTCTGACAGGACACATCATAACTACCATTGGAGCACTTTACTTCTTTTTTAGAGGGGTAGGCTATGTATCTAATGCTGTTGGTTTAAAAACAAATTCATATATAACTTTCATATACAAAATAATTTCCCCCCTTTTTTACAGAAATTACTGAATTCCCTTATCTTTTAAGTTAATAGATATGTTAAGGAAGCGTCCAAGATTTCAGTCCCTGGTCATAGATGGATACACCGATCAACTTTTGTAAGTGCTTTCACCCTGTAATATTTATTTCAGCATTAACAATTATTTAACATTTTTCAATAATCAATCAATATGCTTGGAATTATAGTCTTTGCCAATAATTCTAAAGTTATGAGTTTTTGAAATGTATGTGTATATATATATATATATATATATATATACATCACACAGCTAAATTGCACTAGTCAAACAAATTTTTATGCTAGAAACAGTAATCATTAAGTGTATACATTCATTGTTTACTCCTCCTAATAAGGCTTTTTGTTCCATTAGTTTTCTGCAGGCCGTGCTCTTCCTGGCTTGTGCTCTACTGTACTGCTTTGGTAATGATGAATATCTGGCCTGTCTAGTTTTGTGTCTTGCCTTGAGCTGGGTAAATCTACTTTACTTCTCCAGAGGGTCCAAAAATATGGGAATCTACAGTGTCATGATACAAAAGGTGAGGGATAATTGTCCTTATCCATCTTCATTTCCTCTGGCCTTCGGAGTAGAGTGTTAGTAAAGTATTTTGAGTAGCGCCATAAAAAAATGCTATGCAACACATTTAATGCTTCATTGTAATGTAGACTAGTCCTTACAATTCAGACTTTACTTCATGTTTGTACGATACACTCTCACACTCTTTAATTGTTGTCAGATGGTTCTTGGAGAAATCCGTCGATTCCTTGTCGTGTACATGGTCTTCCTCATTGGGTTCTCTGCAGGTATATTTGCATACATTCAATGTCTTTGGCTTTTTTATTACAATTAATTTAATGTTTATCACAACACAACAAACACTTCCCAATTACACTACTGTTTAAAAGTTTGGGTCAGTAAGTTTTGTTTTGTTTTGTTTGAAAGAAATTAATACTTGAGTTGATCAAAAGTGACAGTAAAGACTCTTACATTGTTACAAAAAATTATGTTTTAAATAAATGGTGTTCTTTTGAACTTTCAATTCCTCAAATATTTAGTTTTAATGCTGTGTTTCTTAATCAACAGCTGTGGTAACTCTCCTTGATGATCGACCTAGTAAGGGACGGTCTTTTTTCCTTCCTATTAATGGAAATGAAAACTGTAAAAAGCCCTCATTCAAGAGCATCTACTTCACCACTCTGGAGTTGTTCAAGTTTACGATTGGCATGGGAGATCTAGAATTCACCGATCAATATCAGTATATAGAGGTTTTCTATGTGCTGCTAATTCTGTATATAGTGATGACTTACATTTTGATGCTGAACATGCTGATCGCTCTGATGAATCAAAGAGTGGAGGAGATGTCCGTAGAGAGCGCCAGCATCTGGAAACTACAGGTGAAATCAAAGGCAAAGTTAAAGCTGTCCATTTCTGCAACAAACACTGTAAATCCTTTAAATGATTCAATGGGCAAAATGGCTGTAATGATTTGCCATTTTCTTTGCTATTCATTGTTATTCACAGCGTGCAATCACCACCTTGGACATGGAGTGGACTCTTCCCCGCTGCCTGAAGACAAGGCTGCGCTCCGGGAAACAAAAGGACCTAGGCGGGGGGCAGGAGCCTGATCGACGCTGGTGCTTTAGGTAGGTGACCCTGGTGGTTTTCACCCGAAACCACAAGATCTGAAGTTTGCATTTGCACCAAGAGCTTGTAACACTTCAAAAGTTTTGAAAAGAGGATATTAGCATGCAAACACAAGCATAATACATAATAATGCACACTTACCCTGTATTGATCTGTGTTTACTGTCTAAAACACTTCAGTGAAACCATAAGCAATAATTGAAGCATGTGTCCTCTTTCTTTCAGTGTGGAGGAAGTCAACTGGAACCAATGGAACAGATTTCACCCGAAACCACAAGATCTGAAGTTTGCATTTGTCTCCTATTTAAAAATGGATGATTCAGTTTTGAAAAGAGGATATTAGCATGCAAACACAAGCATAATACATAATAATGCACACTTACCCTGTATTGATCTGTGTTTACTGTCTAAAACACTTCAGTGAAACCATAAGCAATAATTGAAGCATGTGTCCTCTTTCTTTCAGTGTGGAGGAAGTCAACTGGAACCAATGGAACAGAAACCTGGGTGTAATTACCGAGGACCCTGGGAAATGCCTGCCTGTACCTTCCCCAACTGAACTTCAGAGAGGTAGTTGATGTTAAAGGGGTCATATGATGTTGCTAAAAAGAACATTATTTGGTGTAATGAAATGTGTTTATGTGGTGTAAAGTTTAAAAAACATATTATTTTCCGCATACTGTACATTATTGTTTCTCCTCTATGCCCCGCCTTTCTGAAACGTGTCGATTTTTACAAAGCTCATCATTCTAAAAAGCGAGGTGTGCTCTGATTGGCCAGCTATCCAATGCGTTGTGATTGGTCGAATACCTCAAGCGTGTGACGGAAATGTTACACCCCTTACCATACTGTGATGCCGTGTCCCGGCACGACCAGACAAAACCAATAAAACCCCTTACAAACGAGGCATTTGTTGCATCCAGTGGGGACATAATTACGGATTATAATGACTTATACTGTCTTTTTACGCGCTGCGTTGCATCGTGCCGCGTAAACATAAAACTATGTCTGCATTTGTGATCAGAGAATGACAAACAACAAGCCCTACTCTACACTGCTCAAAACTCGCGTTTGAATCGTCAGTGGCAAATCCTTTAAATATAAAAAACATACTATACGTATGCAGTCAACAACAATACTACAGCAAGAATAAAAGTTACGCCTTCTTTCTTTGCGTGAACATTTGGGCGGTGTTATGCAAATCTTCCCACATAGTGAGGTAGATATGTGGGGGCGTGTTAGAACGAGCCGTTTTAGGTAGGCGTGGTTAATTCTCTTTGGATTTATCTCTTTGGTTAATTTGAGACTTTAGTCTTTGCAACTTTACAGATCTTCTTTATGCACCAAGAGCTTGTAACACTTCAAAGAGAAAGGAAAAATTGAAATCGCATCATATAACCTCTTAAAATAAATGTGTGTGTGTCTGTGTTTTTAATCCTACATCATATCATGTGTATTGGTTACAGATCCCAGCCAGCGTGGACTCCTGCAAACGTTCAGTAAACGTTGGACACAGAGACAACAACGCAGAGATGTACAGGAGCTGAGTCCTCTAGCTGAGACCTCTAGCTCCATCTGATGCTTTTATAATCCGTAATCTATTGCAATTATTTTGCAGTTCCCTTTCATTCCAACTGGTGTAGGAATAATTACATATTATGTCTGGTTAAAACTTGACTGTGGTTAATTTATTAAAGAAAAAATATTATAAACCTCAAGGGTCATTCCTGTTATGTATCATATATTTTTAACTGTAATAATAATAAAAAAAGATTATGCATGTGTTGTAATTTATGAAAGCATTTATATAACATATTAAACATAGCTAATTCTTTTTTTTTATTGAGAGTTAGCTAAAATAAGACTGTCAATTTGTTCATTTTGTTATATTTGAATCATCTTTTTACATTTTGATATTATACTATAATGTTTTAGGATGTTTTAGACACAAACCAATGTCACAAAACAAAATTAGTCTCAAACTGTCATTTTGACAAGTTTGTTTCTTATTGGAAAATTAAGAATAGAAATGATTAAAAATGTATCTAATATTCACCCAATGTTCACTTAATAATTGTGATAAAACAAAATATGATTTCCATATGTAAAATATGGATATTGAAAATTGTGTTTAACCTTTTGTTCATTACATTAACACTTAAAATCTAACACAAAAGTACCCTAAATAGGCAATACATTTTTTAACACTTAAAAACACTCAAAACTCAATAACATTTAATGTCTCTTCACTCATTTAAATGTTTCTATATACGAGGATACAACAACAACAACAAAATGAGGAGTTAAGACACAAAAATCAGGACTGCATAATGAGAATGACCCTTGCACACCTTGTCAAACTGTACAAAAGTTTGAATGTTGGCTATACACATCTTTCATTTCAGAACATTTATGTTCTCAGTGATTATGAGTGATTGAAATCATGTGATATATTTACATATTCAGTTCACTTTTAATGCATAACAACGTAATTAGTGAAAGATCACCTGGACTGATTTTAGGGGCAACGTGCACAACTGTATCATGTATATATTGCCCTCTTGTGGTGTCGCGTGGTGCTGCTTGTGACCGATAAACATCGCAGGATGATGCAAATAAGATCCAGACACAATGAATCACTGTGCATAACATCAGTATACTTATTGCCACTATATAAATGCGTCCAGAAATGTCATTCGTTACCTATTTTACTGGCCAATAACGCACCGTTCATTTAAGTTCAGTGATAGATGGGTCATGTCCTCCGGCTATTACTTGACTGCAGAGCTGAAATGCTGTGACCCTAGATCGCGAATGTCCTGCTGTGCTCTCATTTATATAACTAAAATTTACATCCGCACCAGACGGCTTAAATGCGGCGACCTGGCTATACTGCGTCACTTCCGGCGCTTCATATATTTTTAACTGTAATAATAATAAAAAAAGATTATGCATGTGTTGTAATTTATGAAAGCATTTATATAACATATTAAACATAGCTAATTCTTTTTTTTTATTGAGAGTTAGCTAAAATAAGACTGTCAATTTGTTCATTTTGTTATATTTGAATCATCTTTTTACATTTTGATATCATACTATAATGTTTTAGGATGTTTTAGACACAAACCAATGTCACAAAACAAAATTAGTCTCAAACTGTCATTTTGACAAGTTTGTTTCTTATTGGAAAATTAAGAATAGAAATGATTAAAAATGTATCTAATATTCACCCAATGTTCACTTAATAATTGTGATAAAACAAAATATGATTTCCATATGTAAAATATGGATATTGAAAATTGTGTTTAACCTTTTGTTCATTACATTAACACTTAAAATCTAACACAAAAGTACCCTAAATAGGCAATACATTTTTTAACACTTAAAAACACTCAAAACTCAATAACATTTAATGTCTCTTCACTCATTTAAATGTTTCTATATACGAGGATACAACAACAACAACAAAATGAGGAGTTAAGACACAAAAATCAGGACTGCATAATGAGAATGACCCTTGCACACCTTGTCAAACTGTACAAAAGTTTGAATGTTGGCTATACACATCTTTCATTTCAGAACATTTATGTTCTCAGTGATTATGAGTGATTGAAATCATGTGATATATTTACATATTCAGTTCACTTTTAATGCATAACAACGTAATTAGTGAAAGATCACCTGGACTGATTTTAGGGGCAACGTGCACAACTGTATCATGTATATATTGCCCTCTTGTGGTGTCGCGTGGTGCTGCTTGTGACCGATAAACATCGCAGGATGATGCAAATAAGATCCAGACACAATGAATCACTGTGCATAACATCAGTATACTTATTGCCACTATATAAATGCGTCCAGAAATGTCATTCGTTACCTATTTTACTGGCCAATAACGCACCGTTCATTTAAGTTCAGTGATAGATGGGTCATGTCCTCCGGCTATTACTTGACTGCAGAGCTGAAATGCTGTGACCCTAGATCGCGAATGTCCTGCTGTGCTCTCATTTATATAACTAAAATTTACATCCGCACCAGACGGCTTAAATGCGGCGACCTGGCTATACTGCGTCACTTCCGGCGCTGTATCCCTTTGATACATAGAGCCATTGAATAAAACAAGCTGTAATCATGCGTAACTGAGACAGCCGGGGGGAAAGTGGCCCCACTCGGACTGGGAGCTGTTTTCCCTCTAAATGTTGACTTTCCAGTCCTGAATAAAAACTCCCTTTCTTTTAAATTATGAGAAGAGGTTCTCTAGGGATCACCTCTAGGGTTTTTAACAGAATTATTCAATTCAACTGTGCACAGACGCTGTATTCTCAGAAACTACTGAATGTTGTTTTTACAGTCATTCTTGAGAAGTGGGACAAAACAGGGTGCAAAATTGAAAAAATAAAACCTTGTACTCAGACAAATGAAACTACATTTATGTATCTTATATGTACTAAGCTACTGAGCTATGCTTTGATACAACCTCCCAACTTTTCTCTTTTTTAACAAAATGTGATTTTTTTTTTACCTTGGACTGTGTAATATAACTTCAACTTTATCTTTAACAGCATTCAAGACGTTTTTAACATTTTAAAACACATTCTTGTGTTAGCAGACAGATTGCACTTTCACATGTGACCAACAATTCCACAACAAATATAAAATATCATAATGAAGTATCATCAAAATATTCAACTGACGGAGTTGACACATCTGACGGAGAGAGCTGAAATGCTGTGACCCTAGATCGCGAATGTCCTGCTGTGCTCTCATTTATATAACTAAAATTTACATCCGCACCAGACGGCTTAAATGCAAGTATTTTGTATTTTGATATATCATTAGAACACAAGATCTTATGGTGGTGACATCTGACGGTGTTGACAAATTTGGCATTTCTTTCACAAAACCAATGGAGGTCATGTGGTAGCCATTTTATTTTTTGCTGTTGATGCTAGATGCTAATGGAACCTGCTTCAGGAGAATAAAATGATCTAAATATTTCAAACAATTTCCTCAGAAATTGGAAGATGGTGTTGACATATCATGGCTGTGACACAGGAAACATTAACATTAGGATTTAAAATATTCTAGAACTATAAAACTTAGCAGAGCCTGTCTGACCTGATGTACTCTGCAGAGGTGAACTGTGGCAAGGGGCTCCTTTAGAGTGACAGCTGCCCCTGATATTCCCTGATTTTATTACATTTTATTGAATGTCTGACAGTGTTGACAAAAAGTGGGGACGCAACTTTAAAATCTTATTAAACATGCATGTGTCATTAAAAAACAACCTTGCTTTGATAGGAGATATTATTAAGTGTTGCTTTTGATAAAACAAGCTCTTTTTCAACATTAAAAAACATTGATATGAATGATTGAACCCTTCTCTGTGGACACACTGTTTTAGATGTAGTGAGAGGACATTAAGAAACATATATTTGGTATAATAATGAGAAAATTAATTTGAAGGTGATAATTGTGTTAAATACATTCTATTATTAATCCCTCATGACATTTAAAATCGAAAATATTTTTATTTTTAAGCCAAATAGCGGTTACCCTTGCTGGACCTGTTTTGTCCCATGTCTCAAGAATGACTGTTTACTCAATATAGTAACTCTTAATGGATGTATAAGCTTTGTAAAGTTGTTGTGAGCGATTTATTTTGTGAAGTGATATACAAATAAATTCTGAATTAAATTCAGTGGATTATGCAAAACTGTAAAGCAGAATTGTTTATTCTGGATGTTTAAATCCATGGGTCAAAGATATGCTGACGGCTTCATTTTAAGCTATGTACTGGCGGTGTGATATAATTAGCAGACCTAGTTACCAGAACTGACTTACAATACACAATTTGCACGGACAAATCCCTCAGAATCTGTTCAGAGATTTAGATGTGATAGTAGCAAAGGTTATGTTGGTTTGCTTTACCTGAATTTGAACCTGCAAGACTAAACTGTTCGATAACAACTACTAGAACCACCAATAAGATACATTTTTTTCATCACTAAAGTAATTTTTGTGGCCATTTAATATCTCTGCCACTTTAGATCAAAACATTTATTTTTGATTGTTTGCTTTCATGTTTTTAGTTTGGGATGATCTGGTATTTCCTGCAATAGCTACTAGCAGTCAGAGCATCATATTTAAAACCCAGATGAGCAGACACTGCTTGAGGAAAGAGATTCTTAAAACAAGACCACTGTCGGAAAAATCCTTGAAGACAACAGTATATGAGGGTATATATACACAGACACACAGGGTGACCAGTCCAAGGTTGAAGTTTTAGCAGCTTTTGAGCTGTAGCTAATCAGCTCATGGGAAATATGAATAATTAACCATA